AAATTGTTGATGAATGTTTGAATAGGACTCGGTTTTAGATCTCACACACTGTAGCCACTGGCCAGCCTGCGTTGAACGTCTTTTAAAACTTTTCAATTTCAATCGGTTGTAGAACTTGTAGGAATTAGGTGCAGACCCAGGATGATAAAGGAGCACAGCCTCAGGAAACCCACAGACATGCTCAGACATGCTCAGACATTTTCAGGCATTCTCAGTCCTTACTCTCTCTGTAACATGGGAGGGTGGACCCGCTTTCCAGCAGGTGATGACAGTGATGCTCCCCACCAATAGACGGAGCCTCTCCCTAGGTGTTAGTGGTGTCTGCTCTTATCAGCAGCACTAACACTGGCAGGGGTGTTGTTTTAAAAAAAAAAAAAAAAAAAAGGTGCAGCTTCACTGGCCTTTCGTGTAAATGTTTTGGTGCCTTTACGTTCTCCGCGAATGAATTGTTGTGCATGCGCACTTCTGCATGCCATCTTCCCTTGCGCGCTTCTTTCTCCCCCTTTTCGCCGCTAAGCTGTAACTGTATTTTTTCTCCCTCCTTTCATGCTCACTCCCTCTTCTTATCCCGTTCAATCTTGGCCCCAACCCACGCTCTCTCTCCTAACCTCTTTTCCTGCCTCCATCTACTACACCCCCAAAGCACTCGGCTCTTGTAAATCCACAAGTGACCGTAGACAGCGGCGTGTAGAGAGACTCTGATCTAACCACTCTCCGATCCGATTGGCTACGACAAGCCCTGCCAGATCAACATGGCCTCCCCTCCATCTACCCTGCCCCTTTCCTATTCTTCTCATCATTGCCTTTTGTACCCGACATTCCTCCCGGCGTCCTCCCTTTTCTTCACAACTATAAATCTCGTAAATGCCTTCCTTTTGCTTTCTTTTCTCTCACGTCCATCTGCCATCTCATTCCTTACTGGTCTTCTTCTTCTTCTTCTTCTTCTTCTTCTTCTTCTTCTTCTTCTTCTTCTTCTTCTTCGCACTGTACAGTCTTCTTCTTCTTCTTCTTCTTCGCTGTCGTCGTCCTCGTCACTATTATCCGTCCCCTGAATACATTGCACTGTATAGTTAAGCCTAAACGAATCTCACTACAACCGTGCCCAAAGTTTGACCGACCACAACGAGCTCCCTCAGCAACCCGGGCGTAAACAGCAATGAGGACAGTTGTTCGGGGCACGAACACGAAAGAAACCAAGTTAAATTAGTTAATTACAGAGTAAGATAGTTTGTATTCCCAATGCAAGCGATGGATACAGATCAGACACTTTACCGGGCATTTCAATTGGTGGGAGTGACAATGATGGCTGCAGCCATAGAGACGGGGCGAAAACCACAACCAAGGACATGACCGGAGACAGGATGCAAATTACGAAAGAACTGAGTCTCATGAACTGCTCGGAAAACGCGATATGATTGTGATGCCTATACAGTGTACACCAACAATTACGAACATGCACACAAATCTGGACGAGCGGCTAGGCGTGTCAGAAATGGGGGACAAGACCGTTCGCCCAAATACTAGCCGCAAGGCTGCAATGTCTTCCTGGGGTGCAATGCTTTGATATGACTGCATTGGGCTGGAAACAATACTAGGCCCACGGCCCTACTCTTCGGCAAAGACAACACTAATGTCCCTAATAAAATTTCACATTATGAGCCGTATAATGAGCCCAGAGATTCCACCAATCACCTGGGAAAGGGCTGTGGGAATTCCACCATTCCCAACAAGACTGAGACTCCGGACAGGTCACCCATAGGTGCTGACAATCATCAACAGCATACACAAGTTAACATGTACAACAAGAAGATCTTTTCAAATTCAATGGTAGGCATCAGCAGCGGCATAGCCTTGTACGGGTTTGAAATCACCTTCAGAAATTGCTGGCTTTGTTTCCCGCCCCCTTTCAGCTGTTATACTACATGTCCCTGGAAGGGTCATTTCTTTACCAAATTATCAAGTCAGATGTCCAGGGACATTACAGAACGATAGATCTCTCCGTGTCAAATTTTATTCGGCATGATTTTCAAATTTCTTTGAAGACCATTTCACACTAGAGCAAGATGATCAGAGTCTGCAAAGAAAAAATCCAAATAGACAATAAACAAACATTGTCAACAAAAATAAAAACACGTGTGGAATCTTGATGTTTGTGGGTGCCAGCAGGAAGAAAGCTAATGCCAAGCAGGGAAGTGGTGTGCACGTCATCCCTCGGCCAGGAAACAACGCTAGCATGCGTGAAGATTCTGTGTGCTGCATGAAGGCGACCTTCACAGAGAAGAACCTTTGTGCTGCATTGTACACAGAGTCTGACAGAGATGATTCACAAAGAGAGCTAGGTAGAAGAGAAGGTCCGTACTGCCAGCACACCCAGGTGCCCAGGTGGAGAGTGCAATTGTGAATGGAGAGAGAGAGAGAGAGAGAGAGAGAGAGAGAGAGAGAGAGAGAGAGAGAGAGAGAGAGAGAGAGAGAGAGAGAGAGAGAGAGAGNAGAGAGAGAGAGAGAGAGAGAGAGAGAGAGAGAGAGAGAGAGAGAGAGAGAGAGAGAGTGGCTGAAAACAAGTTTAAACAACCACACTGACAGCCAAGCAGAGATTGAGAGACACTGACACAGAGAGACAGAACGGCAGATAGACAAAGGCTGACATCAAGAGACACACAAACTGACAGAGATCGTGAGCGAGTTTTGGTGTGCATGTGTTTCAGAGAGAGTCTCAAAGATCTTGAGAGAGATTTTCTGTATAGAGGCTTTGTATTTGACAAAGGCCGCCGACCAAAAAAGAGAAGATAGCCATGTTCGACAATAATGTTTTGGCCATCTTTCCAGTATCTTTCTAATAAATGCCACTACGTTTCTGTGTTCGGCCTCGAAACTTGGGAACCTCTACAAACGGACGTCCAAGCCAGAAATTCAATCCAAATGACCACTTATGGTTTATTTAGGATAAGCAAGTTGCCAAGTTCTAGTACTCTATGATCACAGACACCACCGTGTTTGAAGTCTGCAGGGCATCTTACCAAACCTAACATGATATAACACATTTCAATACCTATATTGAATTACTGTGACCTTGTTTTTTGAGTCTTGTCAAACAACCCCTAACTCTCTCCTCATTCCATGATCTACCAATCATCCACAAAGCAAGAAAGGTATAGTCTACGATAGCCAATAGAATAGAAGATGCAAGCTTGGGCACATTTGTGTGCTTCAATGCCAACTGCCCACACACCCATCTGCCGCCAGACAGCACACTTACATAAACATCATTATATATATATATACATCTATAAACAGAGCTGCCCAGTTTACCGTAGGCAGAGAGGGAGAAGAGGACAACAAACGAGGGGCTATATATATATATATATATATGTATCTGCGACATATAAATGCATCACTAGTGTCTCAAAATCAATCGAGCAAGCTCACAGGTATATATAGTCAAACAGAGCTGCCCAGTAAACTGTAGGCAGAGAGGGAGAAGAGGACAACCAACGGGGGGGGGGGCTGTGACAAACTGTTTGTCGGAGTCTCGAAACTGATCCACTGCGCTTGGATCGGGGGACGCGACCCAGCTTATCCACTCCACAGCTCACAGCACCAATCGTGTTTCGGTGCGCCGGAATTTCACCGGCTAATCAGAGGCCTGACACGACGTACACCCGAAGTATCTGATGCACAACACTCCTCCCCAATGCACCAGCTCATCAGAAGGCTGAATACATACATATAGGGGCAAGTACATTGATGTCAAAACAGCGTTTTGAATCGGAGAAAAGAATGTGCAGGCAAAACAACAGCTGCCGAGTTCACAAACACAATGAAAGTACCGCGGCCGGCCGTGAGATGTGTCATAACTACAGGGACAGGCCGTGGTGCCAGACGCTAAAGGGGGGGGAGCAAAAGGGGCCAATAGATCTATTTCGACTGAAAGCTCATGATGAAATTTCCATTCAGTATTGTTTTACCCTTTGCAAACTCAAAACCTGCTGCTGGGTGTAGGTGTGGGTGAGTGTGGAGGGACAAACTCAAATATAATCCATAAGAGGACAGACAACGTACGTAACAAACCGCAGTTACACTGAACACGAAAATTCAACCGAAACACGCCCCACTAACACCCTAGTGTTCTTCCCTGCGCCGCCATGGTCACGCCAGAGCCAAGTTTTGGCAATAGAAGCAGACAGATTTTGTCGGCCCCGTGAGCGATCCCCCAACGCCCGAACGCCGCCACTGGGGCGGCTCGTTAGTGCAGCGTTACCACTGCGCTAACGCACAGCCCGTTTCCCAGATTTTTTCTAACGACGCTGTCTGTATGGAAGGCACTGACCACTACTTCAATTGGTATGAAAAAGACTTAAAGAATTCTTTGAGTCGGCCCACGAAGGCACAATAAATCAAACAAACACCACAGAGCACAGGTCCTCTACGCACAACAAGGAGTGCCATGAACCTCACCCCGCCGCACAATCTGCAGAAACGAATATCTCACAGTGCAACGAACATCTCACCTTTCTCACAGTGCTCCAGCAAGGCCACTGCGCGAACTGTACCAAACACCAGAAGATCTCCAGTGGGTGTAGGCGTGGGGGTGAGTGTGGGTGTGGGCGTGGGGATGCTGGTGCGGGTGTGCGTGTGGAGTGGGTGTGAGTGTGAGTGTGGGTGTGGGTGCGTACGTACGTGCGTGTGTGTGTGTGTGTGTGTGTGTGTGTGTGTGTGTGGGTGCGTGTGGGGGGGGGTGTGTGTGTGTGTGTGTGTGTGTGTGTGTGTGTGTTGTCATATTCACTAAACACAACTCCACAAAAAAAAAGCACGACTGTTCCAGACTGCTTCGTTAGACTTTCACCAACTCGTAGTCATGATTACAGCAGCTTTCCTGAGACTTACACCAATTCGTCATATAGACCAGCTTTCCATCATACGCACCTAGCAGCATACTAGCGAGGTCGCACACTAACCTCGTCGCACACCAGCCTCCTCCCCCACACGAGCCCGGTCGCACTCTAGGTGCCTGTTCGCGCTCTAGAACCCTGGTCGCACAAAAACCTGGTGGTCGTACACTGGCCACACTAGAAACAGCACTCAGCGCATTAGGACTTCTTCTAGTTCTCTGAGGACGTAATTGCTGTGAGGTGCATCCAGGCCGGGTTGGAAACGCGGTCATATTATACCATTTCTCGATTTCTACGTGTCATCCTTGAAAGCGCAGGAGCCATGCTAATTACACTTCTCTGTATCGTTCCAATTTTAACGGATGTCCCGAAGGACACGCGGTCATATTTATATGCAAAAAAGTCCTACTGGGAGTAATATGCCCTCATACTGCATGGGATGTGGTGGCCGTAGGCGACGACGGCCGATGTGGGTGTGGGTGGTGGGGCTGAGAAGAGCGAATCGGGCAACACCATCGTGCGGGAATTGCTCTCCTCTCTTTCTCCTGTTTCTCCTCATCCACTACCTCCTCCTCTTCTCCCTCCAAATCTACTTCCCGCCGATCTTCTTCTTCCTGCCCACCGTCTTTTTCCCACCCCCCTTCGTCCTTCCGCGTTCCGCCATCACTGTGCGACACAAGGCTACCCGTGTCGTGCTTGCTGTGCAGCAGAGGGTTGCTTGCGCAATCTTCGAACACCTGACTGTACATGATAGCCGGCCGGCTGTCCTGGACTTGCTTATGGATTAAGCCAGAGTCGAGATGTCGCGTGATCCCGACCTCCGGCATGAGGCTCTTGCACAGCGTTGTGACCAGCCGCGCATTGAACCGGTGATGGAACAACCACACCGGCAGCTCGTTGGGATCGTACCGGAAGGGTTCCTCGAGGTCCCGAGCCACCTCATTCAGCATGTCGTAGCCTAGAATCATCAGAAAGGCAGCTAGTCCTGACATCCAGAGGGAATCGATCCATGCAACGGCGACCGCGGGGGTGATAGGGAAGGCCAGAACGTAGATGAACACGGAAATGCCTTGCGCGTAAGGGAAGGGAAAGGGGGTGTTTGCAAGCTTGTAAGAGTTCTCAAACCCTAACATACCGTCAGAAAGGACTTGGTAGATTCGAGAGACGACGGGGGCATCCACCTTGATACCCCCTTCGGTGCGGCGGGCGACGAGCGAGCGATGCAGCCAGCAATAGACACAATGAACCCGATCTTCGGTTTGGGAGAGCACCTCCCTCTCCTCCGGGCTGATTCCGCCCAAGACAGGCAGAGAGAAGATCCTATGGTAGGCCTTCAGGTGCCGCTTGGTAGGGAAGAGAGAGAAGTAGTCCCGCAGCGCGAAACACTTGCGCCATTCCTCGACATCGCCCGGATCGGGAGACGGTTTGGGCGTCGGGATATCGACCAGACTTCCAACGGATAGGTTATTAATGTCGGAATCTCCACGAAGCTTCTGCATGGCCAGGGCATGCATCAAGCTCATCAGATGAACGAACTCGGCGCGGAACTTGATACC